AAAAAAAGATGTAAAATAAAAAATGAAAAGAACTACGGTGAAGAAATATGAAAAGATATGTATGCGCGCGTTTAAAAATATCACATAACATCTTAATACAAAGAATAAAAATAAAATAGCATAATTTTTATTTTTTTTTTTTTTTTTTTTTTTTTTTTTTATCTTATGTGCGCTCTTGTTATTAAGAAGATATTTGTCTCTATATATAACATTTATGTACAAAATACTGATAGTAACTTTGTTTTAAAATCAAACTATTCTTTGTACATTAATTAGTCTTTGCAGAACGTAGTATTATTCACGATAATCTTACATTTTTATTTTGTAAAAAGAAGCATTACGGTCAAAGAGAGAGAGCAGACATTTCCAGACAAGAACTTCGAAGAAAGTTTATCGAAAGTTTTTGCTCCGAGGTCGCTGGTGTTCGTCGTCGTTTCTATATTCCTCTCTTTTTTTTTCTTCCTGTTTTTCCCACTTTAAAGTGCACGTTCTTGCCAAAGGAAGTCCAGGGTTGGGACCTATCGAGTCGCCTATTCGAATGCGGCGCTCGTAAGCGAGAACATCCGGCGAACGAAGACGTGTGGCGATTTTTGCGGCGTCTCGTAAGCGACGACGACGCTATATTTTCGGCATGACACTGACGTTTGCGATTTTTCCGCGCAAATGTTGAACTTTGCGCTACAAAATGGAATTACTGCACACGCCCGTTCTTGGCGAGTAGTCGCCGCGCGTGGGCTTTTCAGCACGTTCGGCCAAAGTTTCATTCATAGGAAAAGCTTTGACTTGGCAATTACGCGCTTTTAAATGACACGGCAAAAGAGGAAAGGTATCAAGCGAACATCAATCTTGTATTGAATGACTTTAATGCATTTCAACTATGCGAACTATACATTCAGCGACAAGCTCGCATCAATCGAGCACATGAAAGAGATTTGGAAAAAAAAAGGACAACATTTAGAAAGAGAAAAAGAGAAAAAAGATTTTTCACACAGAAAATATATAAAATGAAGATATACAATTACACAATATTTGATTTGCTCGATATTTTTTAATAAAGCACTTTTAGTTAAATTTCACTTGTAATAATATTTATTTTTATCCTTGTATTTGTTATATATTTAAAATTTTAATCTTTTGTTGTATTTTGCTACATAGCTATCCAAATATTTCCAATTCTTTTTCTGCGAATTCTTAAAAATCAGTTCCGCTGAAAGTTGCTCACGAAATGTTTGGCGAAAAGCGGAATATTTGTGCGCTCTTGGAAGCGATTTTCGAGTTCGCCTGATCAACTGACGTACTGAATAAATTTCCGCAAATAGCCGATGGATAAAAAAAACTTCAAAACTGTTAAAAATTCTGTGAAATTTTATCCGACGCATTTTGAACATGGCAAAAAGTCTCCGCGCGCGCACGTCGTTACTGCGCCCGATCTTCGAGTTTAGAATAGTCGGACTATTTTTGGAAGCGCATTGAGAACTATATTTATGTTCAAGGATAAATATATCGAAAGTCGCTATATGGCGAGGAGTCAATGTTTTCTTCGCGTGCGGCTTAAATTATTAAAAGACTCGAAGTTCAATTGCTGTTATATTACACGATCTTCAAAACGTGTGTGTGATTGCAATTATGATGTTATTTTATAGATCTTTGTTGGTTACAGTAAGAACATGAATAATCAAAAATAGTAATAAAACAGAGAGCCCGATATCGCGAGAAATAAAAATTTCATCTCCGCTACATACATTCACGAACGCAATGGCACACTCTGCAATCGCGGCTTCAATAACGTGTAGACACGTATGGGAGGCGTGTTACGTGGATAATAGGATGATCTTGTGGTTGCCCTGGGTGATGTCTAAATGCGCATAGTCAAGTGGTCCGCTAGCCCCATATATGGACGTGTACACACACACTGTCGATACCTCGCACAAACACACGGACTACTCATACCGGTAGTATCCGGGATATCTAACTAGAGCCGGAAGATAGAGTGTATCCTAACGATCGGTCTCACCTGAATAATTCTCGGGTAAGTTTCGTACGTGCGGAGAAAGTAAAGTTGCGCGCGTTTGCATCTCTACGGTCTCATTACGAGATCGGCGTTGCTAGAAATTTATCGGTAACACCGACAGCACGTTTTTATTCACTCCTGACTTTTTGATTTCCGAGACAACAAACAACGTTAAAAAATCAGATTTGATTACATTACAAAGATAATGAACCGCGCGTTAAATAGGTGTGAATAATTACTTTTTTTTTTTTTTTTTTTTTACCTGCATTAGGTTTTGTCTTTCGTTATTATACGGTGTTACGGAAACTCTGTATTACACATCCTGACGCGAGTATTATATTACAAGGAAAAATGCTTTGTAAGCGCTAGAGCTTTAATGCGGTAACGGACGAGAAAATAACGCAGCTTCATGTCGCGGCTTCTGACGAACAATTTGGCTTTCGGCCAGACCGACTTCCGGGGCTAACGACATTGGAATATTTGTCGAGTGCGATCATAAAAGACGTTTACGTTTGCGAAATTGGAGTGGCAACAAAAATTTGCTTTCCACGTATTATTTGTCCACGTGTATTTTCGCGAAGAAACGCCGCCGGGGCGGGCGTTATAAGAAACCGGCGGAATATAATTGGAGCGTCACGTGTGTGTGTGTGTTAATTATTTTACGCATAATTATATTGGAAATTGCATGAGAATATGCGACATTTGGTCACATGTTCAGTTTCACAGATCGGATATTGCTGCAATATATCAGATTATATGCATTATTATTAGTTTGTTAAATTGCAAAATATCTCTCCGCACATTCTACGCATTAATTGCGGTTATCGGTTTGCACCGGAATTGTGGCTATTTAAGTAAATATTCATCAACAATTGTCACGTCGTTTCAAATCGCAGGGAAATGTTATTTGCTCTCGTTACTCACATTTCATGCGCATCATTGCACATACATTAAATATTTTATAAAGAACTACACATTATAGGTATTTCTCTGATGTAATCATTCATCGATTTTATCGATACTTCATTGCAAACAAACTCCATTTCATGTCACGTTCCATGGTTTTGTGTTAACCCTTCAATGCCAGATATAGGTCTGCGAGAGATCCAAAAGTTTTAAACCGATGTCTCCACCAAAGTATTAATTTAGCGCGACTGCGCTGACAATCATGAAAAAAAACTTTCGATCTTTTGATAAAAAAAAAAAAAGAAATTGAAAATACACAGTTTTTTGCGGAGATATTCAAACTTAATGTCGCGTGGAGATCTCACGGACCCGGTCTGGACAACTCGCAGGTCATTTTTTATGTCTGGCACTGCACGGTTAAAGACACGTGACCAAAGTAAAGTCACGTGAGTTTAATCACGTGTTGTTTTTCTTCTTTTCCTTGTTACGTGTGATTTTATTTTAGTCACGTTTTTAAACCCTCAATATCAGATACGGGTCTCCGAGATCCTAAAAGTTTTAAACCAATGTTTCTGCTAGGATATAAGGGTAGCGCGAGACATCTGAAGGCCGTGAAAAAAAAACAACTTTAGAGCCTTAGACAATGGTCGAAATTTTTGACAGCGTCCTTTGTTTGAAGAGCTTTGCGAAGTTTTTGAATTTTGTAGCAAATTTGTGCGAAAAGAATCTGAGAGACTCGAGCTTTTTTTTTCGAATAAAACATGTCAGGTGTTTCTTTATACGCTTGTTATCTTCAAAACTACTGTGGTGAGTTTTTCAATCTGTTTTTTTTTTATCAACGCAGAATCGTTCAATTTTTCGATTCAAAAAAAAAAAATAAAAAAATTGAAAAAATATTGTTTTTCGCGAAGATATTTAAACCTAAAATCGCATGGATCTCACAGACCCGGTCTAGACAACTCGCAGGTTATTTTTTATGTCTGAAACGAAAGGATTAACTCTAATCACAGATTCGAATCTTATAAGTCGAACAGTTGTGACAGTTTGTTTCAAAAAAAAGTCTAAACTAAATACTTCCGTATGCTCGACGCGAGTGCGCGGAGTTTGGATTCGAATTAATTACTCGAAACTGCAATTCGATTGCGATCTCATGGCTAGAGGAATTTCACGACCATCAAAATTGTTCCTCCACCTCGTTCTGTTCCGCAGTATATTCGCTAACGGCTTGTCGTCTGACTTCTCTCGTTTCAGCTGACAAAGGTATGCTGCTGAAGCTCGACTTTCGGGACGAGTTCCAGCTTGAAGACAGTCCGGACTGCCGTTTCGATTTCCTCGAGGTACGTGACGGCCAGCACGGTTTCTCTAATCTCCTCGGCAACTTCTGCGGCACGAATTTTCCCCCCGAGATCACATCGAAGACGCGATACCTCTGGTTGCGATTCCACAGTGACGAGAACATCGAGGGCAAAGGCTTCAAGGCTGTATGGAGCATGATACCGAGACCGACTCATCGTAAGTCTCATAGTTACAAAGTTTACATTTCGATAAAGTGTTTACTTAAATTTTCATTGTAGACTCTAGCTGATAACTTTTACTCTTTAAATAAAAACAGTTAATTAGTAAAATACAATGTCGATTTTTATTTTACTAAAATGGCCGTGTTTGTTAGTAAAAAAAAAAAAAAAAAATATTGTTCTAACTAACATCTTGCATATATTTCTGAGATTATTACTTTGTTATCTCGGCTGTTCTATTCTTTACAATGTTTGAAATCTCTACAAGGTCTCTGAAAAAACTGCTCGAGAGATTAGTAAGAGTGACACTCTTTATCAGCGTCCGATCACGTGTCATCTTCCTGTATACGTACGCCAGGAATTTGTCTCGGTCGAGGAGTTCCGTCTAACTTTGATCTATTGCCGACCGTACGCTCCTCGAGCACTATAAGGCTCATATATCCTTTAGACGCATAACCACAAATTACTAAACGATCGATAACGAGCTTGAGATGACCCTAATCCGCCTCGCTTCTTGTTTGATTCTCACGCAAAAATAACGAGAAAGTGAGAACACAAAACTTGTTGCTCAACTTGTGAGATAATTGGCTCAATATAATAATAATGGGAACTAATTTGTCTGGTGTGTTTTGATGTAACATCTTGACCGTTGCGAAAAAACGAAAGATTGTGTTTTCTTCATAACGCAGATCACAAAAATCATTTAATTCTAACGTGTACACTTTAAACGTTAAAGTAACGTTAAGGTTTGTAACGTTAAAGTCGGTGCGTAGCTATAAATAAATTGTCTGACTGTATTTAAATGAAACATTGAGCAGAGAGATATGCAGATATTCTTCCCGCGACGTTGCAACAGACTCGAAGAAGTAACGAGAATGATGATAACAATTTACTATGCAGATCTGCCGATTCACGAATATTCGAAGATCTTCTTGCTCGGGAAATTGCGAGACACTTTGGAAATAGATGACTCGCAGCGAAGCGCGAGCGCCGTGCAACCGCGACGGGGGGACCAAAATTAATTCATATTCACTCGAGAGAGAACGAGAGAGGGAAGAAGCTATGAATACGCAGAATACAACCGCGGCAGGGTCTGCGTTTAATCGGGCGTCGTCCTTAGATCGATATACAAAGCGGGATTGCGAAGACGGAGAGCGGAGCGCGGTCGACGCGATCAAATACTGAAAGTTTTATCCCGCGTGGTTGATTAACTCATTCGTTGCTGAGTTTCAATATTGATGCCCGATATTGAAATATCGTGTACTCTGTTCCCTCCGATATTGCCACTGGTCTGTCTTTGCATATTTCATTAATGTGTGTTCGTCTCTTAATAAAGTTAAGGAAAAATTGATGAATGACGTACTAAACACTCGTTTTTTTTTTTTTTTAATTAAATATTTACTTTCCAGAATTTCATAGTGCAATACGTAATATAGAAATTATCTCATTTACAGTAAAAATAAATGAGGAGAGATATATCGCGCGCGCGCGCATTCGCCAGTTGCGTCCGGCATGATTGGGGGGTGGGAGGGGGAAGACTAAAGCCGTCGCACCATAACTGTTCGTAACTACTTGCTCGCGCGTAACTACCTTGCGCACAACACAGTCTGGGAATCGCGCCGTAGTTGCGTACCTCAGCGTGGAGGGAAGCGTATTTCTCATTCATTATTTATGAACGAGCGGTACGCCAAATCCGTCCGAGTGTTATAACTCGGAGAAAACTTGGACGCGGAAATGCGAAATAAAAACCGAAAGTTTTGCTCTGTTTATCTTTCACTCGAATGTATTTATTTTTATATAACGCACCGTTAAATAATGCTTTGTAAAAACAAACAACAATTTTTCAATATATATTTCATTGTTGCGTGTGTGAGGGATGCGCGAAAAGTAATAATAAATATTAGACTTTGTTTATTAAATCGGTATTGATTAATTTCTGTTGTTAAAAATACAAATGCAATATTGTGTAAATATAAAATATAAATAATAACGTGCGAGGAAAAGTGTAGAACTGTAATAGGTATGATTCACAGCGGGCGTGCCACCGGAACCCGAACCGTGCATAGTTAACGTGACGGGTATGCAAGCGATAATTCACAGCGACGACGTCAAGGATAAGAAAGATCTAGCCGAGAAAGAGGGAATGCCTTTAGATTGCATGTGGGTCATTCGAGTTCAGGAAAAATGGAAGGTAAGTTATATGAATACATAAATTTATACATATATACATTTTCTTTTTTTAGTACCATTAGATTAAAACAAAAATTGAAATATGCGTTCTAACATATTATAAATAATAATAATAATAATAGTAGTAGCAGTAGACTCTCTTTATTACATATTTTGAATATTTTACACATATTTTTATCAAAGCTTTATTTCGATACTTTTGTTAGACAGTACAAAGGCGCTACTAGCAATATTTCTTTGCTTTTGTGTAACACGTCGCAGTTCTTGTTTGATCTCGGTACACTTTTCCTACGGATATTCAATCGATACGAATGTTTGTTATTGGCCTGCAGCAACGTGATTCCAAACGGGCGTTTCTCTCAAAGTAACGGTGTTTCTGAATGATTTACAATATACCTCTTTGCCGTAGAGCGCGGAATCGACAAAGCGGTTCGGTTTTTGCACCGAATACTTCGAAATCTACGTTACAAAATTTACATTGGCAGTTGATAACAGGTCGTCCGTTTTGACTTTGGAAAGGAAGTCTCTTGCCTTCTCGAAAACTTCATTATTGAAGTTGCTTAACGAAGTTAATATTTCTCAAGTTTCTATATCGTCGTCAGAAAATTATATAGAAAAGTTACTTCCCGACGCGCGATTCGCGAGATTGCAGCTACATTTTCGCTATTTCTTTTCTTTTTTATACGGAATTGCGACGTTTTTCCTGGAGAATTTTCAGCCCTAAATTCCGCGATCGAGGCCGCTATATTCGCGCACGTTTGAGAATTCTTCGCGTGTGAATTCTGCGCATGTACGCTTCTCTGTAGAGTGCTCATTTTCGATACCGTTTTTTCTCGAAGACACACAATTTACGGCCGTTTGTTTTGCGCTTTTCTCGACGAAAATAATTACGTAGTGGAATTCTTTTTTGAATTGTCGATCTGTTTTCTCGATCTCGGCCATTCAAAGATGGCGAAGTCTATGCAGTTAGAAAAGTGAGAACGTGTGGACAATTTTCAGATTCAATTGACGTTCGAGGGCAATTTCAAACTGAAGTTACCAAACGAGTGCGACGTCAACTTCGTGGACGTATTCAGGGAACGCACGGACATGCTTTCTCACGAGAGACTTTTTTGCGGCAGCATCGCCGATACCATCGTCGTTCCCAGCAATATCGCTCACTTGAGGTTCTACGTGGAGCCGAAAGCTATAAACAGCACCTTTGAAGCAGTAATGACCGCTTTCAGGGACAAGGAAAGCGGCGAGAAATGTGAGTTTCTTTACAAACACAATAATGACTACGTATATCTTCAAGTAAGTGCGTTTTCGCAATTGCCAAGCTCGACCGGGCGCACGAATCGAAACTGTCGTTAAAACTCGCGCGACCATTTGCAATAGCATTCACGTAAAACACGCATTAAATTAAGGTACCACTAAAATTTATTGTTGAATAACAAATTATTTCGCTATATTCTAGCAGTATTTGTTGTTTATATTCCTTTTGAATACAAAGCTTGTCTCTGAATGGCAATATAACTCTCATATTTTCTATACAAAGAATAATAATTCTATTCTATACAGAAAATATCACGCATATATACTGCCATTCAAAGTAAAAACTTTACACTCAAAAGGAATACAAACATACAAAAGAAATACAAGCAAAAATAAAAAACAAAAAAAACCCATGTTTTTTAGCTAGAAACACATTTCAGGTTTTTTCAAATAAAGTTTTTTTAATAAACAAATGTATTCTGACCATTGAAGCAAAACGCTGTTGTTGATGTGTGAATATTTAAATCAGTTTATTGAAACTTAGTAACATTAACGCTTTTGACCTTGTATTAGGTCCTTCTCAAATGCATTTAAATTACTTTGGTAATGTACGTCGCACAGTGCTGATCAAGAATGTCGCACAAGCAGACCCGACCAACACTTTACAAAAGGATAAACGCGACTGAGTAAAGTTTTTTTAAGTAAATATTACAATACTAGAACCTCTTACGCAATTATACAATGTACACAATGTAGAACTTTTTTTTTGCAATATATGCTTTGCAATCACAATATTGAATTTGTAACATAATAACATGTATATAATAACAGATCAGCTTTGGCAATTCGAACTCTATAGTTGAACTATTGTTGTGCGGATGAGCTAACTAGATCGAAATTATCCATATGTTACTCTAAAAATATCTACTACACAATTCCATAAAATTTTTCCACCGGTGTGTCCCATTTATTCTGTGGGATTTTAATCTCGCGAATTGCACAGCCGGAAATTCAACCCTCTACCAAACGTTTGTTTGCGAGTTAGTACAAGCAGAACTATTTGTTCATCTTCGTAGATTGCCAACACTTTTGAACAATGTAGTAATTCTGTTACGCTACATGAATGATGTTATTTAATAACAAGTTGTTTTTTTTTTTTTATAAAACAATACATAACACAGTAGAGTAATACGAAAAAAAAATATTGACTTGTTTTACATGTTTCAACAGAATTTTATTATTTTGTTGTGCACGCGCGAGTCTGTGTAAAATATATTCGGATTTTGTTTTTTATAAATGCGGCCAACGGACGATTCTCTGGAAAGACGAGCGAAATTAGATTATTGCGAGATACAAAGACACTTACAACTTTTGCGTTTCACTTTGTCATCGCGCACGTACAATCATTTAGTTTAGCCTTTTAAGTCTGGCGAAACACGTCAAGGATAATAATCATTGGGTAAAGGAATCAAATTTCAAATTAATGGTCGCGCACCTTGTCTTGAATGTTAAATGAGGCGGCCCGCAGAATCGCAGTTACGTGTGCGGAATTCGCACGGGGGTTCTAGTGTGGAACGAGAAGAATTCCTGGCTTTCCGCACCTGCCGCACCACCAACGCGGAACTAATATCTTGCAGGGAACTATACAGTCTAAGTGTGTTCAGCAATTCCTTTATCCGTACCATCGTCGAAGAATAAGACTTTAGGGTTACAAATTTTCCCGTGCGAATTAAGTAATCGACCATCGCGGTTACTTCGCGGAAGCGAACGTTTTGGTTGAAGTGACGTTAAGCTTGTTATAAATTTGCTGGGAATTTTTTATCGTACATAATAACATGATAAAAGCTCAACGATTATTATTGCGATGTTATTTTTTATATTAAGTCTACCGGAAAGTTCTCTGTCCGTTTTTGGAATAAAACAAAATACAAATTTTTCTTACCGTCAATAAACTTTATTCAATAATATAATTGCCATTATTATTAATGATTTCTTGCCAGCGTGAGGGGAATTTGTATATCCCATTTTTGAAAAATTCCGAAAAATTTGTATTTTGTTTTATTCCAAAAACGGACAGAACTTTCCGGTAGACCTAATATTTTTTTGTATATAAGTGATCGTAGAATTGATTGCGATCAAAAATACGCGCAGGTAGAAGAAAAGATATATAGAAAGTAGCGTGTATTTATTTTATTCACAATATACTTACACACGTAATACAGTTACGATATCTTTTTATTGAGATTCGATAAAGAGTATTTCAATATGTGCGACACAGCGCATTTCTCTTTTCTTTTTTTCCAGCCTGCAAAGAGGACGAGTATGACTGCGAGGACGCGACTTGCATCGCCGCGGAATTGGAGTGCAACGGAAAGGTGAACTGCCGCTTTAGGTGGGACGAAGACGACGCGAAGTGCAACGTGAGTTTTAGCTTTGTCGAAATCTGAATCAATACTGTCCGTTCGACGATCCGGCGCGAAGCGCGCTATCCAATTCCCGGATTTGGACCATTTCCGTTGCGTCCACACCGCTCTCTCTCGCATCCTTCCCCGTGCATACTGTCCCGCGCGCATCTGTCCCCTACCTCTCCATTTTCGTTCTCTCGCCTCTCGCAAGTTTCCACTACGTGTTTCGCAGATTCTCACTTTCTCATAAACTACGAACTACGAAAGTTAAATCGCGCCCGAGCAGCACGGCACAGGCTTGCAAAATGAGACGGGATAAATTTAGATTGCGAGTTATAATAAAGATAACTTACGACGTTTCTGACAACTCGGATTAAGAGTTAAGAAAGCACTGAGAATCATATTAACATAAGCATGACAAAGAATAAATTTTCAGAGAAAAGTCTATTAATAATGTGAAAATTATTACTGTCGGGAGACAACACACACAAACGGGAGAAAGGGGTTTGTGTACGTATGCACGTGGTTATATGTACGAGAGTTACTTGCAGCTCCGACTGGCGTTTCTATTTGCTGTATTATGGTAACATTTCCCGTTAGTTAAACAAAAGCAGCGTTCGCGCGCATGCTGCCTACGTCTTGTTGCCACGAAAGTGCGTCCAATATTGCAGTGCAGCGAAAACGATACGTCGCATCTTAATTGCCTTCCGAGCTTCCACTTTACTTGCTTCTGATCTTACCGGTTAATTAATTTATTCGAGGAAAAAAGTTTTACGAGCGTCCTGCCTCTCTCTCTCTCTCTCTCTCTCTGTCTTTGATATAAACTGGTCCGGGGAGAACAAGGCCTCTCTCAAAACGCGTAATCTCGGAAGAGCAATTTGCTTCTTCTAATTACGAACAAAATCAGGCCGTTTCATAGGCCGCTCTTGTGTCGTCGTGTGTTGCGCAATTTCATCTTTCCTTTCTCTGCGCCATTTTATAAAATATCGTATTTTTAAATATTTATTGTAAATGTTTCTTTAATTTTATTTCTTACTTTTGACGTTGTTAATTGCTGTTTTTTTCTTGTTTTTAAAAAACAAAAATAAATAAATTGTCGGTGGTAGAGAAGAAGATTTATTGTTTTATACATTTAATGCGCGCGAACGTAAGAAAGTGAAACTGTTACGTAAAGAAAGAGATCTTTCTGAATCAATCTTTTCTCAAGATAGTTCGCGAGGAGACACCGTGGAGAGTATGATTGTCTTTCGAGTGCAAATGGCGGTCTCTGTTTATGGTGAGCAGTTCATGTGATCTCTACGATTAAACGTTAAGAGTACCTTGTCTCGAGAACTTTGTCTTTTAGCTCAGATTATCCAAAGCTTTCGGAAAGCTCACTACGTCTAGCTCGATTATTCAAAATATGAAACCTCGTGGTAAGACACAATTGACGAGATGTAATTATTCGAAAAAACAGTTATATTTATATTGTGCCTTTCGCGTTTTCTAAAAGAAAGAAAAAAAACTGCGAGATGTTTGTTACGTGAGGATTTGGTTCAACGGTAATTTTATTGCTTTGAATCTAATGAAATCTTTGAATCTACTTATTGTTTTCTTGAGATTTTTAAACAAATCTTTATTAAAATATATATAAAAGTATCTTAAAATGTTTTGTACCATTTTGTGGTTGAATATTTATCTTGAAAATAATAATGGAGATTAGTATCAAATATGTATGCGTAATTTCGCGCATAGAATCTGGCATTAAACAGCTCCGTGAAAACGGTACAGTCGTCTCCCGAGATTTAGCACCGGGTCTCTTATTTGTTAGCGCCAAACCACGAATCCCGGGGATGCGCAACTCCCACAAGAGTTGTCTCCGCGACTTAATCGGTCTTCAACCCCGCAAAATGTCCCGTTTCCCACTCGTTTCTCTTTCGCTTTCTCTCTCTCGTCTCCCTTGCCTGCCTGTAACATCGGGGCTAATTAATTTATTCGAGCAAAGTTTTGCAAAGGGCGCGGCTTCCTCGCAGTCGGAGGTTGCGCGAGAGAAAAAGAGAGAAGGAGAGAGAGAGAGCCACGCCGATCTCGAGATTGCGCAATTCCAAGGGCAGCCCTTCCTCTACTCTCCCCCCCGCCACGTGATATTCGGACGTGAGCTCCGGACGGTTATACGGGTGGGTGTTTCCGGTTCCGGGACATACAATACTACGCGCTTTTGGCAGACTACCAGAACAAGGCACTGGCGAAACGACGGTACGATGCCACCGACGGGATATTAATCTAACGGCGAATATAATGCTTCTGATATTGCCAGGCGCGATTCCGTCGATGTTTTGCCGCTTTATTTTATTCCGATCGTTTCCAGATCCAAGCGCAAAAATTAAGTCGCGCCGAAAGCGCGTGAAAGAGACAAATTTAACGATTGTGTTAATTTGCGCGCTTTAGAATGTTTATGTTGAAATATAATTATATATATATTGAAACATATATATATTGCGCTATTGCTAATAACAAAGAGCACATTGTCCAATGTCAAAAGTAGTATGTGCGGTAGTATACATTTGCGTAAGTCAGAATATCGATAAACTTATTCAGTTCATATATGTATTGTTTCATAAATTGCAGAAATAAAAAACATTTTGTAAATCGGTTATCAAATTTAAAAAAAGTACGTTATATGTGGATAGAAAATCTATCACTGTCCATTACCGTTGAAAACAATATCTCTTTCTCTCTCTCTCTCTCTCTTTCTTTCACTTTTTCTCTCTGACAAATTGAACAGTTATTGCCTTCTAAAGCTTGTCGTATACTATTTAGTTTTGTTCTCATACTTTTGAGTGAAAAGTAAATTTGTTTCGAGCAATATTTGGATACAGTGATTTTATTATTTTTAGTATTATCTGAAAAAATATTTGTTAAAAAAAAAAGACATCAATTGCTTGCCGAAATCTGTTGGCAATTTTGCACACTTGTTTTCTCGTTAAACACTTTAATTTTTTTTCATACGTACGTATATACATATATATGTGTCCGCTGCAAATGTTCGTCGTGTAAATGTTATTATTTCGCGATGTATTTTGATTTTCACGACTCAGCGAGCAAAAACCGCGAGATGATTTAATTGTAACATGAAAAAACAAATTAATAGCAAAAACACAACAATTTTATAGTAACAATTACGAACGGTGAAACTTCAATTCGCGCAAGCGAATGTAACTAAACGATCAACGACAATTATACACAGACAATACTTGGTCGTTTCGTTCCTGAAATAAACGTTCTCACTCACTTGTCAGTGGCAACGTAGTGGCGAATTTATCGCACGAGCGATGAAGAGGTAATTGTTTACTGAGTTTACTCGAACGACACGTCCGCTCAATGTATCATCCCCATCGAATAACACTCGATGACAAACAACGCATCATATCGAATTAATTCGGCGGCGATTAATTATCGAAACATCGTCGCATGCGGTGAGATTTTCTTGATCTCTTGTTAAATTTGATCCGCGACAGTGACATGACAAATATAAGATTTTGTTTCGAAAACTATAGTTTTTTTTCCACAACTTTTTTGTTTAGGAAAGAGAAATAACGCACATGCGTGTACTTTCAATTAAATAGATAGAAAAAAAAGATTATTATATTTATTGCAAGTTCATTTACTCTAATTTCATATCTAATATAGATATGTAGATAATAATCATAATTATGGTTTATTATTTGAATTTTTGTTAAGTGCAGTAAAAAAAAGTCAAATCCCTTTATATAAAAAAGAATTCGACATCACGTAAATCCGCGTCATTATTCGCTTTCGCCTCCGCGTTGTAGGTAAATGAGCGCGTCTTTGTGGAAACGCTCGAAAAAGGATCAGCGTTCGCTGAAACAGCTCGGAATTAAATTTCGCTTCTTCGTGGCAATTCCGATTTCTCCGCTAACGGGCGCAGTTTCGTTTCAGGATTACCGTAATGCCGGCATCAAAAACAAATAGTTGGAGATTTGTTGCACCGTGGACTTTCACAGTCGTATTTTTATAAAACAAAATTTTTTTTATCCGATTTTCTCTCTCGCATACATAATGACGCGAGATAATTTATTACCTAACGTTCAAACTGAAGTGATTTGGCAGTCGGTTGTAATTAGATATTAGGGAAATGACATTCATCGTTGGATTAAAGATCGCGTTGGGCTCGAGTTTACAAATAAAGTTTCTCGTTAAAAGGAAAGCGATTCCTCTTTCCGAGTAATTACATCGCGCGACGCGCTCCGTCTTCCGAGAAAAGACATTTATATTCGATGTAACTTCGGAATACACATATAGCTTGTAAATTATTCCGCAAGCTAAATGTAATGAATACTATATGCAACGACTGTGACTATTACTTCGCTCGCGGTATAATTACGCGCAATTGCAATATGCATTTAATAATGCTATATATTTCTACAATTCGGGTGATATGAAATTTTCCGAGCTCCCCGTAAATCGGATAGCGCGGAGACTGAGCGATAAAATTAATAGTCGATTCTTGCATTTCAGCTTTACACACACGCTATCGTTCTATAATTTAATTCAGCCGCGAACATATAACGCTGATTAATTAAATTAAAAGGTGTAATAGTCACAAAAATGTGCCATCCCTTGTGCGTTCACATCCGCGAGTTTCGCGCTACCTATCGGCACTCTCTCATACGCATAGCCAGTTACACATTTTTATATTCTATTATTATAATATATAGCGTATGGGTTCTCAGCGTGGAATGGATACGCGTCTAGGCGGCGAAAATGTGACATGATTTACTTGAACATAAAATATACTTGTGCACAGTAAATAAAGTACATTTTATTTTAGAATATCACAGAATTTTCATTTTATTTTTTCTTTTCACGTGTTGCGTGTGTATTTCATATTTCTCTCTAATATTATACTTCCGGCATTTCACGCACCTTAAAAGAGCCAAACATGATATCCGCCTGTTGAATTTTTGCAAGAGAATATTTTTTTCGTGAGAACCTTGGTGTAATATTCATCCGCA